GTCGCCGGCCGGGGCCAGCCGACCAGCCGGAGGATCGATTGCGAGAGGGAGGACGAAGAGAAGGACGAGCTGTTGTGCTAGCGTCATGTAGAGGTTCAGCGACGGCGGAATAGGGGCATCCACCCTTCTTTTGCACACCTTATCCTTGGGATCTCTGAGGTTCTGGAACCCTCGGGTTCGAACGGCCTCTTGCGTCATTGTGCATTGTATTGTATTGTATTTAACTTGGCTGCTTCCAGACGGATGTGCACAGGCATGGCCCCGCAAACGGCATTGCTCTGGTGAGCACTGCTATGCTTTGCATTTCGGTGCGTTGCATCGCATTGCCTTGCCTTTCATATGCTTTGCAGGTTTTTATTTGCAATGCTTCTCGCTGCATGGCGCTCGCATCTGGTTTCCATGGCACTGCGTTGCATCGCAGTACCAGTGTGGACATCCCATTCTCTTCGCTGCTTTGCATTGGTTCGCATTGCATTGCATGGATGTGCCATTGTCTGTAATTGATCTCTGTTCGACCCGCGTTTCTGACGCTTCACTGTAATTACCTCATGTTCGAGTCATTTCTGGGTAAGTACTTCAGAGGCTCTGTGAACTTGTCGCGGCCTGGGGCTTGCTAGAACCTAAGCGCGCGCGAAGTGCGCGCGTGGTTCTAGTTTCTTGTAGTCAGAGGTGAACGTCAGCTAGTGGTTCACGGAGCTACTTGGGAAGGTGCACAAACGGGGGCGGCACGCCACCGTCGACGTCGTCGTCGTCGTGCCGTCGCCGCGCGCGCGCAGTGCGGAGCGCGCGCTGGCGATGACGGCACGACGAACGACGCCGGCGGCGGCGAGGACGAGAGCGACGACGGCGACGTCGACGGCGACGGCGACGACGACGACGGCGACGGCGACGGCATCCAGGTCAGAACGCAAACTGGGAGAGGTCCGGGAGTAACCGTAGCGGCACTTTTTGATTTTCGCAATGACCAGACCGCGAGTTCAGGCTCGAGGTTCAAGGTCTTCGAACGTTTTCGTTGGCTCTCGGTGGTTTCCAGCCTTGGCGTGCTTCCCAGCGGCTGCGCCTCGCCGAGAACGCCCGGGAGTGTCCAGATCGTCCCAAGCGGCCGCCAGGGGCCCGAGCTATGACCCGAACACCAACCAGGGGACAGGCTCAGAAGGGGGCCTCTAGCAGCAGTCCGGGACGATCTGGGCACGCCCGGAACGCCCTCGGCGAGGGGCATCTGCTGGAGAGCGCCCCAAGGCTGGAAGACCTCCAGGAGCCGACGAAAACGATAGAAGACATCGAACTTCCCCACTCGGGCGCGCCGCCAGGAGTCGGCAGATCTTGAGATCTTGAGTTCTTGAGATCTTGAGTTCGAGCTCTTGAGTTCTTGAGTTCTTGAACTCTTTTGCTTGAGATCTTGAGTTCTTGAGATCTTGAGATCTTGAGTTCCTGAGATCTTGAGATCTTGAGACCTTGAGTTCTCGAGTTCTCGAGCTGCCAGACCCAGCCCCGAGCACCAGAGGGACGCGGGGCCCCCGGACCGCGCCTCCCCCCCCAGTCAGGCGATCGCGAACATGGATCAAGCGGGCGTGGATTAGCGACGGGTCCCGCTTTCCCGGTTCCATCGGATTGCCGCCGCCGAACGAGGCGGCACCGGCCGTATGTTGGGGAGGGCACATCCCCCGATCCATTGATTTGGCGACCGCGCGCCAAACCCATGGATCGTTCGTGTTTGCGCGCCCCCGACCTAGGAACGTCTCCGATGTGTTCCGCTCCAAGCGGGTGGGTTCGGGGCATCTGCAGGTTGGGTGTTTGCGCGGATGGTATACTTTGTCCCAGTGCTACATGCGCTCTCTCCCATCCCGATCAAGCCCTGCCGCCTTGTGCGTACGCCGAGTCCACGATTCAAACGTGCTTGCGCGGGTGAAGAGAACACGGTCAGGAATTTTGGCTTAGGGTGTCGCGCCGCTGGTTTGGGCCCACCACGCTTCGGCGCACGTCCAGGTCCCCAAGCATCGAAGTCTCAAGCTTTTTGCCAGCCTCCCGCGGAGCGGAGCGACTCGCTATCAGCTGGCAGGGCATGGCGTGTCGCCGGGGTCGCCGCCGCGACACGCTAAGCAACAGTTCCCGACCGCATTCAAGGTTTTCGGGCCATAACTCGGGCCTCCAGCGGCCGTTCCAAATCATTCCGGCACCCCTGGAACGCTCTCGACGAGGCGAGGCTGATGGAAACTACCCTGGGTCGGAACTTTCGAAAACTTGCAAAACCTCCCCAAGTTCCTGATCGTGATCGTAGACGAAATTGGCATCAGCACGGACTCTCGGATGTTCGCGCGGATCTCTTGGATCGTCGCCGGGTCTTTCTGGCGGCGCCTCTTGCAGCGCCCCAGGAATGAGCGCTCCGCTCGCCCGACAGGGGGGCTCAGCGCTTGCTTGTGAGACCACAGTATAAATATATATATATATATATATATATTGATTTATTGATTTATTTATTTATATGTATTTTTTCTGCTTATATATATATATATATATATATATATACATATATTCCTCTTCCTATAGTTTTACAAGCCCGGGCGGCGGGAAA